CTGCGTTATAATACTTTATGATTTACAAATATGATGCAGGTTTCGAATCTACTCTACTTGCTTCTTCCTTTAATTATATTGGTGGATATCCATAGTTGCATAGTGTCTTTATTTATATGATGAAAAAAAAAAAAAAAAAACTAAGAATACGATAATTGATTAAAATTAAGCACAATTTTTTTTTACATTAACTGTGTTTTATTTTTATTTTTATAAATTTTATATTCATGTAAAAGAATTGTATCTAATTTTATAATTGATTTTTATGGTTATAAAATAACTATAATATAATCCAGCATTTGGTTAAAAGGTAACTTTCCATTGACAACTTCAGAAAAATTCGCAATAGCGTAATTAATTGTTTTATTTTGAATAAAGCTGCAAACAAACATAGTTGAAGGAGGAGTTCATCTTGAATAAATAATCAAATAAGCTTGAGCAAAAAAAATTTCATTTCTATACATTTTTCTTTTACAAATTTAAGATTTAAATATGAGTTTAATGATGGCCAAATTATCTGGAAGTCCTATTTAAAAGATGAGAAGTTTATTTAGTTATACAACTTTTTGGATACTCTCAAAAGTTCATTGTGCATTTTTCTTCTTCATTCTTCTTTATGCACTGGTTCTTCTCTATCTCTTTCTCTTCTTTTCCGGAGACTGACAATCATGCCTTACTTCTTCTCTTTCTCTTTTTAACATATACTTCCTGGCAACCGACAACTACTATTGATTGGATTTCACCGGCAACCAGCGAGTACCGATTACTTAGTTCACCCTCATCGATGGCGAAGGAGACAAGTTTCCGGCGAAAAAGATAAGTAGATCTACTCAAATCTACATCAGATCTAAGTAGATCCACATGAGAACAAATTAGATCTAAAGCAAAAATTAGTTGTTAGAATACAATCTTTTCTATATGTTTGTTTCTCTTTTTCGATCTCCTAATTTTTCTACATTTTCTCTACTACACACTTCTATTTTCATGTTTTAATGGAGAAATTTTTAAAATTCTGAACAAATTATTTTTGAGTTTTAGTTATAAGAGGTGAAAACTGTAAAATTTTACAATTTCAATTTTGTTGGCGTTGAAATGAATCATACTTTAAAACTGTAAAATTTTACAGTTTCATAACACATTTTTCAATTTGATTAATAAGAATAAATCCTTAATAGAATCATGCTTTGAAACTGTAACATTTTACAGTTTCAAAACTTAGTTTTCAGTTTGATCAATATTGAAGATTATTTGCTTAAACCCTACAAAAATTAAAAAATAATATATATTTTTCCTTTTGTTGTTGTTTGTTGTTTGTTGTTATTATTTTATTTTATTTTTCTTTCAAGTTATCAATATTTAGCACATTTTGCTATATTTTTTCATTACAATTTCTCCATTTATTTATTTATTTATTTTTTGACAATATTCTGGATATTCTAGTGAATATTCAATGATTTTCTTGACGTTCAGTGAACATTCTGGTCATTCCATCGACTTCCAATGACATTTAGAACATTTCGACAATATTCCGACAATACTCCGACAAACGTCCCAACAATGTTGAACATTCTGACGAGTTTTCGGTGATCGTCTGACGAAAGTCCAGTGGTGGTGGGATGTAACAGCATTTTTAAATTTATTTATAAAAAGAAGAGATTTTTTGGTAATAATTAAAAATATATAGGACTAATTGGTACAAATATTTTATTTTGGAATTAGTTGAGTTTTGAATTTTATGCCTGGTAAGTGTTTTTAATGAATTACTCCATTGCGTTGTAGTGGCCCAAATGTAGTTGGGCCTAGTAGGGCCTGGGCTTTTGATTTTGAGAAAGTTCATGTAGGGTCTGGGCTTACGCTTTGTAGTTTTACACTTTTTTTTTGGGGGACTATTGGTTCAAATGTCAAGCCATGATTAAATTTCAAAGGCGATTAAAAATGCTTCATTTCTAAGTCTACAATCTCATGATGATTAATAATGCTGATAATGCAATATTCATGATTTCGTTCCACCAGTGAACAAATATGCATTGTTAATAATTTTTTAAAGTTTTTTGTTCTTTAAACATGTTACATGATTTAAATAATAATAATAATAATAATCTTTTGTTCTTTGAACTGTTTTGTCATAGATTTTTTTTATTCTTAAATTATTCTGTTTATTTTGAAATTACTCAATTCAAATAGAACTATAGATACTTTGTAACTCTTGATCTATAATTACATATATTGTTTGTAACTATATATTTGAAGCATACTTATGTAAGTGTGCATACATTTTAGTATAAGTAAAATGGTTTGTAATTGCGATTTTTTTTTATATATTTTTTATAGTATGTTCGTCTATAACGTAATTGTGTGTAATAGTCAATGTTTAGAAACCCATATCGGACCGGTTAGATCGGTGACCGGATCTTGTTCCAGTATAAAAAACTATCTAAACCCAAACATAGTTCAAAATCAATGTAAAATAAAAGAATCGGAATAATCGCCGATTCAATCGTTAAACCTGCACGACCTGGATTGGGTTTTAAGAATCGACCGGTTTTGTCTGCTACTATGTTTCTGTCTCTTGCTTCCCTTTTTTGATGCTCTATTTCTTAAGCTGCTTAATGCTTATTTTTATAGTCATTATCATGTCCAAACAAAGCAAAAAAACATTTAGGCAGAGAAAAGTCAATGATGGAATAGTAATAACAACTAAATATTTTAAAAAATTCATGAATAATTTTTACAATAAATTTTTGATTTCATAGCTGTTAGTTAATGGTTTTGTGAATTGATTTTTTGATTATATATTCTGGCACTCATCTTGTAAAAATAAATATATGTATACTCATCTTACAAATATTTTAAAAATTCTATTATTTTGTTGAATTTAATTATTTTTTTTCATTTTTATACTTAAATTTTTAATATATATTTTAAAATATATTTATGCTGTAATTATGACGTCGGTTGGACCGCTTTAACCTAACAGTTGAACCGATGGTCTGTTCACCCGATCCATTTTCCAGTTCACTCACTGGTCCGATTTTCAAAACAATGGTAATAGTCATCATTTGGTCTCAAAAGTTTACGATCTTGTCTAGAGGATTTCTACTCAATCCAAGCTCGTACCTTGGGTGGGTTGGCTCGATCCATTGGCTTGTATAAAGCAAGTCGTCAGTCTATATAAACCTATAAGTTTGAAAAAAAAATCTCACAAGAAAGACCTGAATCTCGATCCGTTAATCCATAAGAGATAACTCATCGACCAACTCATTAAATTGAACAAAAATGATTGAGAACTCTAATAAAGGAGCTCTAATGAGGTCTAATAAAAGTGAATCCCATTATGATGTAATGTTTTGGGTTTTTTTATTTTATTTTATTTATATATATATTTATATATTTTTTAATTTCCTGTCACATTATTAGAGCTCAATTAGAAGACTAATGCTATATGTACCAATTACTGCACTAACTAGTGTACCAATTGGTAATGTGACATAATTTAAGATATTTTTTATATTTGTAATTTGTATAATGAGTGGAGTCAATAATAATTTTATAACTAATGTTAGTACACTAATTGGTATACTAATTGGTACATGTAACGCCACTCGAAAATTCTAAAATTAGAGATATATCATTGCTCTTAAATTAGAAGAATTGGGTAATACATGAGCTTATAATTTTAATAAGAGCTCTACTTATGTGACAGTGGACCCCGCTCATGAATGATTTGACATATGTGTCTTTTTTTTTTTTGTTGCTTTATACCAAATAATTGTTTGGTATGTCCTAAATAAGTGTACATTTTGACTTTTTATGAAATATGGATTGTGTATGGGTTGGGTTTGAAGTGATATGATAGAGAGGTGATGTGACTTAAATAAGACGATGTGACTTAAATAGAATAGTGACTTTTTGACTTTTTAGATTTTTTTAAGGATGCCAAACTTGGCCTTAATATCAATGTTAGAGTTTTAAATTTAGAGATATTATTCATTTGGTGGTGCTACATGCACCAATTAGGGGTGGTTTGGGATGATGTACACTTTTTGACTTTTTATGAAATATAGGTTGGGTATGGGTGGGGTTTGAAGTGATGTAATAGAGAGGTGATGTGACTTAAATAAGATGATGTGATTTAAATAGAATAGTGGCTTTTTAACTTTTTGACTTTTTTAGAACATCCCAAACAAGGCCTTAGTGTACTAACTAGTGTACTAATATTAGTTATAACATTATTATTGACCCCACTCATTAATCACATTACAAATCTCAAAAATCTTTTAAATTATATCATATCATTAATTAATATAATAATTAATACATATAACATTATTCTTATTCATTGCCCTAATTTTAACTTGCGACCTATCCTAACCTAATTCCTCGAAATAACCTGTTAAACGAAACTCAAAATTGAGTTCACCGACTGTTTTGATGGGCCGGGCCGGGCCAATGCCCACCGTTAGTTGTGTACAGTTTGCAGAAAGTTGTTTAGTCTTTCGAGAGGAAGAGGAAGGCGTGGTGCTCCAACCAATCACAGGAGGGACCAGTTGTGGGCTGTTGGAACAGGATCTTCAGATTCCAAAGCTCTATCTATAATCTCTCTTTCTCTTACAATTTTGATATATAAGCTGTTAGATTTCACGTATGGACCCGGTGAGAGTACCGTTACATTCCATTTCCTGCGCGCCAAACACCTCCTACAATATAGAAGCCCCTTAAAATAAATGGAAAATCATAAAGAAAGAGCAAGAAAAACTTTGGCAAAAAAAGAAAAAAAGAAAAAAGGACAGACTTGAAAACCTTCTCACATAAATCTCCCCCTTCTTTCTATATCTGGGTCTCTCTTTCTTTCTTCTCCCCTGGGATCTAAAGAGAGTGAGAGAGGAAACAGATTCAGATGTTGTAATGGGTTGATCATGTCTCTCTTCATCATCTGGTCCTGAAGATAATGAGCAGTGGCTCTATTGTCTTCTTCTCAGAAGAAGTTTATGGCTTCTCAGAACCCTATGTTTGTTCTTGATGGTCTCTACTGTGAAGAAGAGCATTTTGAGGAAGATTGGGAAGAGGGGAGTGACAAATGTGATGAGAATGTGAAAGGACATTTGGGTTTGTTGGAACATGACTTGTATTGGGAAGATGATGAGCTTGTGTCTCTAATCTCCAAAGAGAAGGAGACTCTTTTGGTGGGTAAGAGTGATTTGAACTCAGATGGGTCTTTAATGGTGTCAAGGAGAGAGGCTATTGAGTGGATGTTAAGGGTCATTGTCCACTATGGTTTCACTGCTATGACCACTGTGTTAGCTGTTAACTATTTTGATAGGTTCATATCAAGCCTTTTCTTTCAGAGAGATAAGCCATGGATGGGTCAACTAACTGCTGTTGCTTGTCTCTCTTTAGCTGCCAAGGTTGAGGAGACCCAAGTGCCTCTTCTCTTAGACCTGCAAGTATGTGATATATCTATTGCTACTTATGCAATGTAGGTGTTTGTGAAAATGTCAGACAGTATGCCTTTTTGGGTATTGTATTGAGTCATTGACGTGTGTTTTACTGTTTTTGTATTGTGATTAGGTGGAGGAATCAAAGTACGTATTTGAAGCAAAGACAATTCAGAGAATGGAGCTTTTGGTGCTCTCTACTCTCGAATGGAAGATGAAACCGGTGACCCCTCTTTCATTCATTGAGCACATTGTAAGGAGAATCGGATTGAAGACCCGTTTGAATTTGGAGTTTCTGTGGCGGTGTGAACGCCTCCTTCTCTCTGTTATTACTGGTAAGCAGACCAAATAGGTCCCAAGTCACTATTGCTATAGATAAGGGTATATATGACCAAAAGAACATGAATTAGATAGAGAAATGGTGGTATTATTTCACCATTCCATTTGGTTTATAATCTATTTTTCATCATTGACTCTTCTGATGATTACTTCCTCGCATAGTTCCTATCATATCCCAAAGACCGGTCTTTCACCCCCAAAGAAGGGTTTTTCGTCTATCTCAAAATACCGGGAAAGAGCCCAAAACCCTTTTTAAAATAAATACTATCTCTTGACACTGAAATTGCTTTTTTCTTGACGATCTTGGTGAAATAACATGAGGGGGTTTGCTTCATACAAAGGGCCAATTCAGATTGGTCTGTAATGATTGCCTCAATTGAAAGCAGCAACTATTCTCATTTTCTGCTTTTATTGATTACAGAGTCAAGTTTTTCGTGTTATCTTCCTTCTGTGTTGGCTGCTGCAACAATGTTACATGTTATCAAAGAGTTTGAACCATGTAATGTATTGGACTGTCAGAATGAGCTAATGGATGCCCTCAAAATAGATAGGGTTTGTATTATGTTTACATATGTTTCTTTGTTATTATACAATTGCTTCATATCTTACTGTGACATCTTGATCATATTTTAACAGGACAAAGTAGATGATTTGTATAAAATCATCCTGGAATTATGTGGAAACCAAGGTCAAATCCAATGCCAAACCCACATGCGCAAGTACCGGTCTATATCGAACAGCGCAAATGGCGTCATTGATGCATATTTCAGCTGCGATACCTCGAACGATTCATGGGCTGTGGCATCGTCAGTTTCATCATCACCAGAACCGCTGTTCAAGAGGAGAAGAGCCCATGATCAGCAGATGAGATTGGCACCATTAAAGCATATGTCTGTGGGTGTAGTTGGCAGCCCTCATTAATCTGTCACTCTTATTGTGAACTCCTTTGGGCCATGGTATAACAATCTCTCTTTCATAAATTAATTGCAGTATGTGTTTTTAAGATGCAATTATTTTGCATTCCACGATATAGTACTGTATTTGTAGCCAAACGTGTGTAATTGATTGCATGACTTTTATTATTAGCAGCGGTGAATGAAGACAGATAGATGAGCTTTGCCATTTTAAGATAATACTTATGAAAACATAGTTACACTAGATAAAGTCATAAAAAACTATGAGGCATCATTATGTCTATCTACATAACATAAATGCATATGTGTGTGTGTGTGTGTGTGTGAACACATATTAGTTACACCATCTTTGGTGGATTTAGGATTAGATAGAGATGGGACTTCCAAGTCTTTGGTTGTTTTTTCAATTGAACCCATTGATGATTGATAGAATTATTTAATAGAGGACAGGTTGGCAGTGGAATTGGTTTCTTGATTTGTTGAAGAGAAATGTCTTGAGGGTAGGAGCAAATTGTTGGCCAGTAGGAGTTTGGTTGTTGTTCTGTGAAGACTTTCGTTACAGATTTGACCTTGTCGAAAGAGAGCTTATAAGGGAAACAAAATAGACTAATATATAGTACTTATATGGTAAACAAGTCATAGTGCTAACTTAGATAGTATGATTAACAATTTTCAACCAATGGAAATTAACAAATAAATTTAAAATTTTGAATTATATACCCCTTATATTTTAAAGAACTTGTGTCTAAATACCAAAAGGCTTAGTGCACTTGCAGGAACTCCTTGTTTCGGGTTTTGATCAGTGTACCCCGGTACCAATCTAAAAAAAAAAAAAAATTTACCAAAAGGCTTGGTATCTATACATGGTAATTGGACAACAACTTCAGTCTTTTGCATCTAATATTGATCATTTTGAGTATCGGTTTTGGTTTGTGGTCCAAGATTTTTTTGTTTGTTCTGTATCCGATGTTTATGTATTTGCTGTGTAGATTACCCTCAGCTCTGGCTATTGGATCTCTTGGATTAGTTCTAAGACAATCTTTGTAATCTAAAGAGGATGTTAAGTGTTTGTAATATGTATGCAATGTATAATGTTAATGCTTTTATATATTGTTGAAGAATCAGAAATACAGATTGTTTTAGAAATGCATGGATATTTAAAACAAGACAGCGGGAATATACGTAATGACCGATATTTTAAGCCCTGAGTTTGACATACATCAGTATTATGTCTGTGAGTGATCATGAGAGAGAAAGAGAGAGAGAGAGGGAGAGAGAGATTTTTCAAGGGAACAACTAACTACCAGAGAGAGAGAGAGAGATTTTTCAAGGGAACAACTAACTACCAGGTCTACCCAATGATCTTTACCCTCAATTTAGTCTCAAGTTTGACTGGATCAGATATGTATAGTCACCAACCAACAACTACGGTTATTTTTGCCCCTGAAATTTCTTATGGCCGACTTTAGGATTCACACTCCGTAGCACTTGAAAAAAAAAAATATGTAAGTTAGTTTTCATTTAAGTATAAACTAAAGGCCCCTCAGAGCACTGGTTTAATGGCTTTTTAAGGTTTCTAACGTTGTGTTTGGTTGGAGAATTTGATGAGAAATTTGGAAAGAAAAATAGAAATGTTAGGTGATATATGAATAAAATATATTTACATTTCACCTAGTTTCACACACTTTTTCTCTTTTCCTTTCCAAATTCCTCTCCAAATTTCCTAACCAAACACAGCATAAGGAAAATTGTACGGAGTGGATGATTTAAGCAAAGTTGGAAAAGGCTAGAGAGAGTAGATTAATGAAAACTATAAAGCTTTGCTCAAAGAAGGTTCTAGGGCAGCAATCTTAATTCTCATCGATTTTCCTTGATTATGAACAGTGGCGTGACACATCTCATTCTAGCTTTCCAGTTTAGAATTTAAAGGCGATGCTATATGGTTCAGTGAAAACCAAATATTGCTATGTATGTTAGCTCTTGTATTAGCCTTTTACATGTGATATCTAAGCCAGTGTATTGTTTTCATTTTCTGGTTACTTTTTTTGTTGTGTACAACAATTGTGCTATGCATATGTAGGAGAATGTTAAGTCATTTACTTTTTGTTGTTGAGATGTTAATATACTTATGTTTGTCTTCTGAATTAAATAAGTAAACTAGTTGAGCTTTGTTTGGAACTTAGAAAGGATCTGTAAATTTATTTCAAATGAGGGGTCCAAATAGATTGGAGGAATAAGATACCAACAATATTTGCACCCAAAAAAAATTTAAAATTTAAAATTTAAAGTCACATTTCATTGTAATTCCTGTCCATTGGCAAACAACCAAAAGACTTGAAAAAGTGGTACAAAATGAGTACTGTTGAGCCTATGATGTCTTTGCTCATGGCTATGGGGTAAAGGGACAGCTTGAAACTCAATTTCATGTGATTATTAATGTTTTGAAAAGTAAAACTTACTATGAAAATGATAAACATAGACATAGTAGTCAAAGGGATCTAGTAATCATGTGAGAGAATAGAAGAGAGAAGTAGGTTGGAAACAGCTAGAGAAGTTTGTTTTATTTTCTTACATCAAATCAGAGAAATTGTTAAAAACTTTGAAAGTTGAGAATAGTCCTTTGTTTGATGCTGCAAACTGAAATAGAGAAAAGTCCAAATAGTAGATCTTAAGTTGAGGAAGTTTCATGGAACTTTTGGTCTATTCAATCTTGTGTACTATATTCAGAGCAAGAACAAAGGCAATAAAGTAAGTAGTTTTAATATTCTTCCAAATCAAAGAGACAGTCCTATTGGCTTCTCTCCAATGGATTGGAGTCTAATTGTGAGAGGAACAGATCCTCTCGCAACTGGAGTTCAATTGCCACGATTCCTCTCACAACTGGACTTTAGTCGAATGGAAAGAAGTTGTGATCTAAAAAGAAAGAGAGAATTGACCAACTTCTTGACTATGAAGCACGGACACGGACACAGGACGCAGCGATTTCAAAAAAATGGGGGCACGGACACGGCGGGGGACATGACAAATTATTATTATTTTTTAAATATATATGTTATGTATTTGCTGTGTAGATTAATTTCATATTACCAAATAATCAAAATTAATAAAAACTAATATTAATTTAATGTGTATATAAAGACCATTACATTTAAACATAATAAACATATGTTCTATATATTGTAAACATTATATAAAGAAAAAATTAAATTAAAATATACAATATATATATATTTATAAAAATATCTAATCATAAATTAAATAAAAAATAGAGAAGAAAGAAGACAGAGAGAAGAGATATAATATGTATAAACTAAAATATAATATATATATATATATAAATAAAAATATCTAATCAACATAGAAGAGAGAAACAAGATAGACCAGAGAAAGAAGACAAAGAAACGAGAGAGAGGCGAGAGGTGAAAAGATAGAAGAGAGCAGAGAGAGACGAGACAGAGAGAGATGGGAATCGACTTAGAGATAAAAGATAGACGAGAGAAAAGAGAGACAGAGATGAAAGCTTTACTACTTACTAGGTCATTCGGTGATGGAGATTGACTGAGAATCGATGAAGAAGAGGAAGACCACGAAGAATCGAACAAATGACACTTACGAGAGGGATTATTCATCGCCTCACATTCCCAGAGGGTTTTGTCTCGTTGCGTCACCAGAGGGCTTCGAAGACAGTCGAATCAGCGACGTTTGAGTTTGCTGAAGTGAAGAGATTCAAACACAATAATAAACAAAACCTAGGTCGTATATATCTTGTATTATTACAAAATAACCCTCTCATTTTTTGTTTTTTAAATATTACACTTTGACCCCAAATAAATATAACAAAATTAAAAATGAGCCCCACCGTGTCCCGATATGGACATGCGTGTCCCAGCCGTATCCTCTCTGTGTCCCCTACAAAAAAAATCATTAAATTAAAGGGATTTGTGTCCTCGACGTGTCCTCGTGTCCCCAGCATATCCACGTATCAGATACCGCTACGGCACCAATTTTGGAGTTTCCATACTTCATAGCTTCTCGCTTAATAGATCTGTCCTTGCCAATAGTTAAATCTCACATAGGTGAAAAAAAGATTGCATGCCAAGGATTACATAAAATGGCTAACTTATAGACATTGTTGTCAATCATATAGCTATCTCCCATCAAAATACAAAGGAAAAAAAAAAATAGTAATACAAAATTGTCACCCATATTACTATTTCCTAGTCTTTGTTTTCTTACTTATTCAAACATGGTAATGATAAATTTTGTCTACATATTTTCATTCTGGGTAAAATTACGGGTATGTAGTACAATTGATGAGATATAGGAATGACAAAAGCAATCGAGAGCTTCATTCATCAGCAGTTCAGATTATGCCTGTAACCAAACACAAAATATAAAGATTAATGGTCACATTGATGATCAACTTAAAAAGGGGAAAAGATGATGAGAGGGGATAGTAGTTTATGTTGCCTTGGTAGAGATTTTGCTGGATAGCCAATCAAGGCCCTCATAGAGTCCTTGCCCAGATGTGGCACATGCACTCTGGATGTACCTGCAATATATAGCCAATTCCCCCAAAATACCTCTAATCAAAACATGAAAATATTAAATATTGTGACAATGAAATCAAGCTTCATGTATTTAATGTTGTTAAGAATTTTGAAACACCTGATCAGGATCAATGAGATATGAAAATAAAAAAAGAATAATAAATAAGAATTATAAATCACATGCATGCTCACACACAAAAACATAGTTCATCCTAAAATTAGAGTTAACATTTGCGATTTCACTACGTTTAGAAAGAGTTACAAAATGAGATATAAAAATATAATTACAAGTCACAAGTACAGAAAATATCAAAATACCCTTACTCAAATTGAAACTGAGATCGAAACATATATTCATAATTAAAAAAATTTATCATCCTGAGCCTCAACTAACATGCTTTTGAAAAAAACTATGAAAAGAATTTTCTCAAAACAAATTATTCATATAAACAATAGAGAGTTAAAATCTTGGTGTGACAGTGGATACAGATTATTGAGTGGATCATTTTAAGTAAAAGTATGAAGTACCAGTGACGTTGATGAATCGAATTCAGGCCAAGTTTATCAGTAATTTCAGCAACATTCATAGCATTTGGAAGATCTTGCTTATTGGCAAACACAAGAAGTGTTGCATCTCTTAGTTCATCCTGCAACAAGAAAAACAATTTTATTGCTTTCGAAAAGCAGAATTACAAAAGCATGATTTCAGTTGTTGTCGAATGATAATGTAATGGGTTATTTTACCTCATTTAGCATCCGATGCAGCTCGTCTCTGGCTTCTAAAATCCTTTCCCTGTCGTTACTGTCTACAACGAAGATGAGGCCTTGGGTGTTCTGAAAGTAGTGCCTCCACAGGGGCCGGATCTGTATAATGACGACAAGGTATCACAAGAAAATCTAGTAAGAAATCTGTATATGTATACGTTGGTATCTAAATGCAATTATCACAAGTCCAATTTGAGGTAGAAATAGTTGAATTAGTAATACCTTATCTTGTCCACCAACATCCCAAACAGTGAAACTCACATTTTTGTATTCCACAGTTTCCACATTAAAACCTGTTGGTGCATGAGGATTACAAATGAAATTTTTTTGTATTCCACAGTTTCCACATTAAAACCTGTTGGTGCATGAGGATTACAAATGAAATTTATTCAAGACATAAATGATCGCCATGTTTAAAATTATTAGAAGATTTAATAAGTTTGAAATTTCATCTCTTTGTAACACAAATCAAAGTGTGATTTTTTATTTATTTATTTTAATGTCGAAAAAAATTATATAGAATTTCAATAAACACTACAAGTCAACAAAGGTCTTGGAGAGGAAGGGTAACTTCAAATCCTTGAAAACATGCCCAAAATACTTTCAATTAGGCATAAATAAAAGTAACTTCGCATCCTTAAAACCACCCCCAAAATCTTTTCAATCAAACATAAATAACCGACCCAATGGTTGTATGACCATCGCGGCTAGGATTAAGGGATCACAAGTTCAAACAAATTGCACCTAACCTTCTAAAAAAAAAGTCATTTAAAGAAGACACAATCAAAATGCACTCTTTCTTTACCATCTTCTTATAGTAATACATACCAATGTCACACCAATGTCAAGTCTTACCACTTTTGCAGGTTGCCCATCTCGCTCACTACCACACTGAATTCCTGAAATATCTATCAATAATAACCCATAAAGATGATGTAGAAAAGAAATACATACCAATAGTCGGTATGGTAGTGACAATCTCTCCGAGTTTGAGCTTGTACAAGATGGTAGTTTTTCCAGCAGCATCAAGACCAACCATCAAAATCCTCATTTCTTTCTTAGCAAAGAGCATCTTTAAGAGCCGAGATATTGCCATACCCATTGTTGCAAATTGATTCAACCAATTAAATCAAAACAATCAATACAAAAGAAAATTCAAAATTTAGTACTTCTAAGTTTATATGAACTAAGATTGAGCCCCGGTTTTGAAGAGGAAAGGAAGATTGCTTGATATTTAATCGATTAGTAGCGTTGGACATGGTCTAAGGTGGGAGAGAATAAGATTCTTAAATGGTGTTTGATACACTAGAATGAAAATCAAAAAAGAAATGGCCATTTTGTCGGAATATTGATTCCTTGGTTAGGTGAAAAAAGAAAGAAGTGTGCATTCCATATAGAATCACCATTTATCAATATAGGAGTATAACGGTCAAATAATAGTTATAAGGTTGCAACTTGGGTAGGATCAACCCGAGTCTAACCTGAAAATTTTTAGAGCGTTGTGCAATATATTTTTTTAATATGGTGGAGGGCTTGGACAAAAATTAAGAAACGCGAATTCAATTTGGATGGGTTTGTAGAAAAACAGCAAATAACCCGAGCAACCTAAAGCACGAATCATATAATATATAAAAATATTAACATATATAAATTATTAGTCATTGAGTTATGTTAAAATAATTAGATTGTTAAATCATATTCACTGTGTACATTATATATACAAGTAACACAACATAAAGCGTTATCTTTTCTTCTCTCTATCTCTCTCACATTATATAAATTAGAAAAATGCTATACAGTTTAAATTTTCTACCAAATGAATGACCAAATGTCTCACATAGGTGTAGGGTCTATAAAAGTGTGGAGCCCACACCTATGTGAGACATTTGATCATTTATTTGATAAAAAAATTGATATTCCTAACATTACTCTATGAATTATTCACTTTGATCTTATTAATGTTTTATAAAACAAAATGTTAATAAAGTCTAATTTTAACAAATTAATCAACCTAATTGCACCCAAAAAATAATAATAATAAACTCTACCTTTTTGGACAATTCGGGCAACTTGGGCAATTTGGACCTAACTCAGGTTGGCTTGGGCATAACCTTGGGTTACAAATCAACCTCGGGTTGGTCTAGGCAACTCGAGTTAGATTTTGACAACTACTCAACCCGTCAAAGTTGCACTGTTAAATAATCATTTTATTACTGTACAAAATCATTCCAGCAAATCAAATACTAACTTTAAAAGAATGCTGGAGGAGAATAAAGGGCATTATCCACACAAAAAAGAAGAAAAGAATAAAGGGCATTAGCTTTGTTTTTCACGTTCGGTGGTAACCATGGACAATCTGACATGTCTTGATGCTTGTGATTCGGTGGGTTGGGGATAGCTTGTGATTTCTTCACCAACTTGAGGTTGTGATAAAGAAATGTGGCCAAGAACCAGTTGAGGGGAAAGGTTTTTGGTCCTCGGCATAGTGCATCAATCTGACAATTTTTTCAGTAATTTCTCTAAGAAAGTCTTCTTGTTATGTCGGTGTAGGACCGAGTTCTACTATCTCCCTCAAAACTAATTGTTGTTGGGAAAATTTTCATTTTTTTTATGGCATTAGATATCGAACAAACGGGCCTAGTTTTAAAACAGTTGCAGAGGCAACATTTTACATTGAGTTCGACCATCTAAAACCAATTATATTTGACAAGGCTTCACTTGCATGACATTAGGCACCACAGCCACAAACTTCATTAGGAACCACTACCACCACTCCACGCACATAAAAAAAAGTACTGCCACTCTACACACCTCAAAAACAAGTAGTCAGTATTATAACCAAAAGAGGATGATGCTACATGATATTTCTAACTTTTCAATATTTAAAAAAAAAAAATTGCTTTCATTTTTTTCTTATAGTGTTAAAAAAACAAAACAAAAAAACCTATGAAAGTGAAAGCCTCATCTAATGCAAATAGAAAACACCTATGAAAGTGAAATGCAGCTTAGATTATTTACTATTATTATTTTTTTTAAAAAGGTGAAAAATAACCAACTTTCCTGTGCCTTGTGATGGCTGAACCAGTTAGATTCAGCAAGAGAAACCTAGCTGCCTCTTCCCGGTGATATATTCCTCATCTAGCACACATGAAGAATTTCTATAGAGAAACACAGACAAAACAAGAAAAGCCAGTTCTGTTTCTAGAGTTGTCAAATAAAATAGAAAATATTTGTTAAAATGATTACGTTTTGGCTACAACTGAAGAGAAAAAAACCAAACTATGCAACTTCAAAAAGCCCAGATGGCAACATGGACTCAACAACACCAATAAAAAATAGAAGTATTAGTGTACAACTTCATAATCATGCCAATGGAATCACAAGGCATTTAAGATCTCATGTGCTTGCACAACTTCCTTCGTTAAGTGTACAGCACAAACAATACACAATCAGTCGTAGTAGACAGAAGAGAGTAAGTTTATAACCTGTGACCATTTATTAGTAGCATTGCAAAACAAATATAGAATGCATAAGTATTTTCATTTTTAGTAATTCAAATAAACAAATTGATGGATACCTGAAAAATCAAGTCAGTAGAGAGAAGAGAAAAAGATGACCAAAAATGTTTTCCATATGAAATCTTATACACTAACCCATTGTCTCATCCATAGATCAATCAGATGATGTTCAAAAACCCAGCTCTTACAGATCTAGAAGACCAAGTGATGGGTATCATAGTAATACAACAGAACCTTAGATTGTACACCAAGCAGGTGAGCTAAGAAGGCGATTGTACTATCTAGAAGTTCTCACAACAGAAGTTCAACCAAGTCCTCAAGCGGATAGGATATTATTACTATACCTAGTCAACAGACAACACAAGTACATATTGTAAACTATGAAGTCTCATAGCCCTGGAACTAATAGTCAATTTTGACACGACTACCATTTACAAGGATAAATGGGCAAGATGGTAACTGGGAATTGCTTTGTAAATAGGATAAAATCATGTTTTTCATCCTCAAAATAAGGACACAATCAATAAGTCAGAAGGGGAGATCCACTGCAATGGACATCGGAAACATCAGAAATCTTTTGCCTAGGAGACAATGTAGTGTTGGCAGCATGATCAACATCAACATTGATAATATTTTTCCTCTTCTGAGTATCTAGCTTTGGCTCATCTTCTGGAAACTCAGAAATGGGGCTCAACAGCACAGCTTCGTTCCGGTGCTTGGATATCATGGCTTGAGCTTCAGCAACCACCGATGCACTATCATCTGTAGCATATAATATCCTTTTTATAGCTTCAACAGCCTGTAAAAAAAGCAAAAAACACAAATTAATGCAACACTAATGACAGGGAGCTATATAATTATTTAATATCCATTGTTCAAACAACCCAAACAATTTAATTCCTCAGATCAAATGACTTAAAAGAACATTACAGGCAAATTTTCAATCTCAGGACACTGGCACAAGATCTCAATATCCCTCAACTTCGCAAAGTAGAAGTCCCTTTCTTTCTCTAGACTATCCACTGACAACTTCAACTCTGTGATCTGTGTACAAAAGAGAAGCGTTAGACTCTCAAAATGTTTAAACAAAAGTTTCGGATTGGGAACTACTTCAAATACCTGTTCGTCATATGCAGGCCCTCCACTAGAAGAAGGTCTAGAAGATGCCTTTACAGATTGATTCACAGTGTTGACATCATTCCTTCGAGCATTATGAGAGGTCTGAGTTTTGGGGGCAGTTGCCGAAGACTTTGTGTTAGATTGTGATGGTGCAGATTTCTTGCTCACTTCTTTTCCACCTTTTGAAGTCTCTCTCCTTTCCAAAGGATTGTAACTAGCATAGACAGCAATGAAACCAGTCAACAACATTCATATGATTGCTTTCCAAAGAAGATTAATTTTCATTTAATGATGAAAACTAAACAGCTTTTTCTCCATTAGCATTACAAATCCAAGGAAATCCAATAAAGAGAAAAACACGATTTTGAACAAACATTACTTACTCTGTACCAACCATATGAATTCAGTTTAACAAACATGCCCTGATATTTTATAATTGAATAAAAGATGATCAACAAAGTTGTAGAAACAGAAAATTTGCTTATCGAAAATCAAACATGAAGAATTGCAATCAAAGTACCTTAATAACCAAAAAACACAAAATAAAGCATAACTAGACCACTAATTTGACAGGCCTGGTTTAATAGAGATCAAACTAGCCAAACAAAGACATAGAAAGTGCATCAACACAATCAACACAACCCTAGTACCATTTTCATTGCAACGAATCAAAAATAAACATAAAAATGTCAACTGCTATTAAAGATTTGTGTACAATGAACCATCTTCTTCAAAGACCCAATTACGCCTGAAACGGACTACATTTCTCTATGGGTTTTGCAGAATAAACAAGAAAGCACATAATTCTCAGACAAATTCATAGAGGAAAGAAACAGGGTTGAAATGTACCTGTACAGAACCCCTCCATTAACCGAATCACAGTACCGCTTCATCCATTGCATAAACTCCAGATTATCCAAGGGCCTTCCTTTCACTAATTTGTTCACCTCAATGTGCTGTACCCACAATTACACAAGCAATCAAAAAAATAATAATAATAATTAAATTAAAGATATGAAACCCTAGTATAAAAACAAAAAGAAATTGGGGGTGAACAAAATGAAACCTTGGTAATCTTCATTTTGTTAAAGACATCTTGAAGAACTTTGTAGTTCTGAATCATCTCGTACTCGTTCTTGGCATCGAAGTTGACTTTGTGCATTGGCACGATTCCGGGATGAGCCGCATCCATCAACTGGCAGTGAACCGCACCGGAACATGCCTGAAATCAACGTATCCAAACCAAACAGTAGTTCATTTTACAAAAATAAACCATAAAAAATGAAAAGATTAGGGTTTTGGAAGAGAGAGAGAGAGAGAGAAACCTCTTCGACTTTGGAGAGATTGAGTTGCAGAGTAGAGTTGATCCAAGCCAAGATCTCTGATCTGCCCACGAAATATGCCGAGTCCATCATTCCAATGTTCGTCGCCATATCTGATCGGTCTCGTACTACTCTCTCTCTCTCTCTCTAACGTCTCTGCTGCGTTCTAGAGAGAGAGAGATGGTGGTGTATTTGAAATTGAGAGGGGAGCGGGATTCTTTCTCCTTTTTCGTAAAATTCAAAATCGGATGGGTTTACGATTCGGACCCAACACCACGTTCCATATGGATGATGATGATGATGAGGCCTTTGGCGGCTCACCACTCTCTGTGTTGGGCTTTAATCGTAGCTTCATGTTGTTGACCCAATATGGGAAAGGCCCACAACACAACTAACAATTTTTATTTTATTTTTGAATTCATTTTTTTTTTTTCACTGTCAGGCAGGCAGGCAGGCAGGCAGGCAGGCGGGCTCCTTGATTGAGAGACAGATGGAGCAAAAGATGGATATGGAAACTGCTGATCTAAGGGAAACATCCACGATGTTAAACCCTTCTCCTGCACAGTATCCTCAACCTAAATCCTTCAAGGCAACACTAATAGAACCCAAGATTGGGGATTATATCTTTGATGATTGAGTTGAAACCCTTTCGTCCGAAGAGGAAGATGAGCCGAATGAAGAACAGAGGAATAATTCCCCAACTGAGACTAACCATTCAGATCATATGGGTTTCCCCATGATCTCATTGCCGAAAAAACTGCGGGAAAAAATTAGAAAACCATGGGAGAGTTCTCTCATTGTCAAGCTTTTGGGAAAGAGCATAGGTTAGAAAATGCTTTGTATTAGAGTAAGAAACATTGGGGACTCCAAAGAGAGTTCAATGCTATTGATCTGGGCAACAACTACTTTCATTTTATAGTTTTAGAAAAATGATGAATACTCCAAAGTCTATTCAGGGGGTCCATGGGTTATCATGGACCACTATCTCACTGTGAGGCACTTGGAGCCAAATTTCAAGCCATCGGAAACACTCGAAACCAAAATCGCTATCTGGGTTCGATTTCCAGGGCTTCCGATTGAGTACTACCAGGATAGAGTTTTATTTGCAATTGCCAAATCTCTTGGCTGGACTACCGCAATGGCCACCAGGGGGAAGTTCGCCAGAAGCTGCATAGAAATGGATCTTACCAAACCACTTAAACCCAAGTTTATTTTAGAAGGTAAATATTACAATATCAAATACAAATCATTGCACTCATTTTGCTTTCTGTGTGGCAGGATTGATCATCGCAAGGAAGCATGTCAATTCAAAGAGTCGACCCAATCAACGGCGGCAGCGCAAAAATTAGCCAGTTCTGGCAATAGTGTTCCAGTCACCACCATGTCTGCAGCCAACGGTCACCTGCAACTGCAACAAGAGGAGGAAACCACTTTTGGGCCTTAGATGCTAGTGACAAAACGGGGACGGAAACTGGCCCAGAACAAAAAAGATCAAGATGGGATTGGTCCAATACATAACACCAATAGATTCAAATACCTTGATAATAATCAAGGTGGACCAAGGGATCATGCACGAGGCATGAAAACAACAAGAACGGGAGCTGAGAAAGCCTAAACCAAAACTCAACCCAATCAAATGGGATCCCACTTAACACCAAACCCCAAAGGTAAAACCAAAGTTGGTCAGACCCAACCCACCTCTAAGCAACTAGATCCCCAGTTACAGCCATCAACTAGTTTGATTCCAATGGATGAGTGCCCATCATATCAACATAGTGATATGATGTCAGAACTCCCAGACTGTCACCACCCAGACACTCCCAGCTACCCTAATGCCTGGCAGGATCACACAAATCAAACTGATATTATCTATATTGGGAGCTATCCCATACGACAAGTAGACCTAACCATGGTAGAGACTATCCATAAGCAAACCCAGGTGGCCTTACCCCTACTCAATTCTGCCTACACTTCCACCCTTAAAGACCACCAATAGAAAGAACCAATTCCCCCTGACCCCGGAGAATTGAAAGATGGAGAGGCAAGACCTACCAGTACTACCCACAATAGAGGTGCAACAATATCTGAAGCAGACCAATGCAGTGGGACTATTGTTAGAGCCAAACGCCGAAGCAACTCACCTCGTCGCTTTCGTTTGGTGGATAGAGCAACTACGGTTGACAATCGAACCAAGCTGGGAGAACAACCCAATGAAGCCATTTCACTCGATCCAAATAGCCTCCATGAGAGCAGTGGAGGCCGACCACAGGCGAATACGTAGTATTCTTAAAGATTGGGTAACTGACTCTCCTCCTACCTTTCCATCTATGGATTTGCTCAAACTATTAATCTGGAATTGTCGCAGTGCTGGTAACAAAACTTTTAAGCGTAACCTTATAGAGATCCTTAGATTTCATAAACCTGAAATACTGATTCTCATGGAGACTAAAGTAGCCTTCAACAAAATGGGAAACTTTTCAATCGTCTGGGCTTTACAGCTTCTACTATTGTTGATCCCATAGGCAGAGTTGGTGGGATCTGGATACCATGGGACACTAACCATGTCAATGTTTGAGCATCCTCAGTTGGTCCCCAAGTTATACATGCCACCATCCACAAGGAGGACTATAAGAAGTGGGTTCTAGCTGTTGTATACGCTAGCCCCAATCCTTTGTTGAGGGAAAATCTTTGGAATGAACTTGAAGAAGTGGCGGATAGTATGGAAAAACCTTGGTTGGTGACAGGAGATTTCAATGACTACGCCAATCAGAGTGAAAGGAGTTATTCAACAAACCAGAGTTCAACTAGGCCCCAAAAATTCCTTGAAAGAATTAACAACTGTAAATTGCTGGACTTAGGAAGCTCGGGACCCAGAATGACCTGGACAAACAACAGACAAGGGCTTGCTAACACTATGGAGAGGTTGGACAGGGCTCTCTGCAATGAAGACTGACGAACCATATTCCCCGAAGCAACTGTCAAAGTGCTGCCAAGAACATGTTCTAACCACTCTTCTCTTGTTGTCTATACCCAAGGTATGCATTCTCTCAACCCCATCAATAGACCCTTTAGATTTGAAGCTGCTTGGATGTCTCATCCTGACCTCTCTCATATTATTTCCTCTTTTTGGTCTGACATGCATAATAAACTGCTTGATTCCACATCTGAATTCACCTTTAGAGTTAAGAAGTGGAATAAAGAGGTCTTTGGCAACATTTTTAAAAGAAAAAGAACCCTCCTTGCTAGGATTGAAGGCATCCAAAAAGCATTGACCAACTCTTGCCCTCATAGCCTCCCAACTCTTGAAAAATAACTCATTAAATCATTTAATGATACTCTTTTGCAAGAAGAAATGTTGTGGTTTCAAAAATCTAGGTCTCAGCATATTCTTTTTGGTGATAGAAATACCAAATTCTTCTATATTTCCACTATCACCAAACGAAGAAAGCTTAAGATAAATGCCCTTAAAATAATGAGGGGAACTGGGTTACTGACCAGGAGGGAATCAAGAGTATTATCCTTACCTATTTCACCAACCTCTTTAAATTTGAGGCTATTCACCATTTGGCCCAGTGGAGCAATATTAACACTACATTTTTCACTCATGATCATAATGAGGCTATGTTGAAACCCATTACCAATGCTGAAATTCTGAGTGCTATTAAAAGTATAGGGGCTTTTAAAGCACCAGGTAAGGATGGTATCCAAGCCTTGTTTTACCAAAAATATTGGAATATTATGGACAACTCTGTATGGGAATTTGTTCGAAATTGCTTCCATAATAAGAGGATCCCTAATGAAGTTAACGAAACTATTATTATTTTCATCCCCAAAATGGAAAATCCTGAGAATATTAAACAATTCAGACCAATCAGCCTTTGTAATGTCCCCTATAAGATCATCACTAAAATTATTATGGGACGTATTAGACCACTCCTTGACACACTCATTAGCCCTAATCAGAGTAGCTTTATACCTGGGAGAAATACTACTAATAATATCATCATCACCCAGGAGATTTCGCACACCCTTAAACATATGAAAGGGAAAAGAGGGGGTATGGTTCTTAAAATCGACTTGGATAAGGCTTAAGACAGGCTATCTTAGGATTTCATAAGGGACACCCTTTAGGAATTCCAACTTAATGAAAATTCGATTGATTTGATTATGAATTGTATTACTAACACCTAATCTTCCATTCTTTGGCATAGGGAAATTGTGGACGACATTCATAATGAAAGGGGACTTAGACAAGGAGACCCTATTTCCCCTTACTTGTTTGTACTTTGTATGGAGAGACTCTCAAATATGATCCGTTCTAAGGTTGATGTAGGTGCTTGGAAGGGTATCAAAGTTTCTAGAACTAGTCCTGCTCTAACCCATTTATTTTTTGCTGATGACCTTATCCTTTTTGCCAAAGCTGATCAGAGTAATTGCAACATCATCATGGAGGTTCTCAATGACTTCTGTGAGATGTCTGGACAGAAACTTAAAAATGTTTGTCTCCAAAAATGTCTCTTGTAATTATGCAAGATCCCTGAGTTATCAATGCGGCATTCTCCTCACCCAGGATTTAGGTAAGTATCTAGGGTCTCATCTTCTCCACAAAATGATCAATAAGAGCTTATTTAATGACATTATTGAGAAATTGAAAACAAGACTCTCAAGATGGAAGGCTAGACATTTATCCTTCGTAGGCAGAACCACCCTTATACAATCTGTCACATCTGCCATCCCCAGCTATAATATGCAAACTGTGGAGCTGCCTAGAAGATTCTGTGATGAAGTTGATAAGATCAATAGGAATTTCCTTTGGGGGGACATTGACACCCATAAGAAAGTCCATTTACTTAACTAGGATATTGTTTGTAGGACTAAGGAGAAAGGGGGTCTTGGTCTCAGAAAAGCCAGGGATAACAATGTTGCTTTACCGGCTAAATTAGGCTGGAAAATTCTAACTGATCATAACAAACTCTACTGCAAAGTGTTACAGAACAAATACCTTAGAAATCATAGTATTTTTAACTGGCCTATGGAGATGAGAGCTTCTCACATTTGGAAAAGCATTTGTAAAAGTAGGAACACTCTTACGAAGTAAGTGAAATGGAATGTAGGCAATGGAGAGAACATCTTATCATGGCATGACTGGTGGTGTGGCTTGCAACCCTTTGTTCAACATTA